AAATTTGAAGGAGGAAGATGGGGGATGGGAGGTGGATACCCGATGCGCTGCGCGGCGAGGCACGGTAGCGACCCCAGCCATGGGTCTCGATCGATCTGCCTCGCGGAGTGGAGGCAGGTCGCTGACGGGAGGGAGGAGAAGAGGATGGTGTGCGTCTGCGGCACGGGTAGGGGGAGGCCAGCGGCGGCTAGGGTTTGCGGGACGCGATTGGACTTTCTCTCGGGGATTATTTTTGCTGTTTTTTTTTTCGTGCGTGCGAGGGGATGCGAGAGCACAAGGGGATGGCTGTTCGTAGGTTAACCGTCGTAGATTTTTTTTAGAACGATTTTCTGTCGCTGAACCATATTGTTTCAGAACGGGCCTCGTGGTAGCCTGCCGTTTTTTTGGTCGGTCTCAAGGGAGGAAGGGGGGGTCGCTGGGTAGCGGGAGGTGAGATGGAGGACGAAAATTAACCGTCTCTGGTGAGACGAAAATTGACCGGCGGAGACTATCAACTGCTTCATTAAAAGTAGAGATACGAAAGACTGCAGAAGCTACGGCTACGACTCGAAGCTTCCCCGGAAGCGAAGACGCAAAGCGCGTCACTTTTCAAAAGAAAGGACCGAGGCTGACTGAATCCGTCCATGTCTCTTACCGATCTTCTGCCTATATAAATCCTCCAAACCTGATATGAAGTCCCATCGCATCGCATCGATCCTACTAGAATACGTACGCAGCGTTCCCATCGATCTAGAGAGATGTTGTCGTCGTCTCCGCCGTGCTACGCGCCCGTGCCCTCGGATGACCAACCACTGCAACACGCGGATGCCCCCGTGTCCACCGTCACGGCCACGGCCGTCGGCGCCGGGGAGCACATCCTCAGGGTCGAGGGCTAGCTACTCGCGGCTCAAGACCATGCACGGCAGCGACGGCGGCTACCTGGAGTCCGCCGTGTTCATGGCGGCGGGCCACGCCTGCCGGGTCTGCTGCTACCTCAACGGGGCGCGCCCGCAGGACGCCGGCTTCGTTTCGGTGTTTCTCAGGCGCGACGACGACGACGCTGACGCCGATGCCGAAGAGAACGTCATCCACGCCGAGTACGAGTTCGCTCTGGTGCACCACCAAGGGACGCTGGTAAAGTGGCCGTCGCACCGCGAATGCGGGACCGCCTCCGCCTTCGACAAGGGGAACTCCTGGGGCTGCCCGTCGTTCATCGCCGCGGAGGACCTGAATCGCTCCAGGTTCCTCAAGGACGACTGCTTCGCCGTCCGGTGCAAGGTCACCGTCGTCCAGGTCCAGGAGTGGGCCGTCCAAGAGGACGCGAGGCCTGCTGAGACCACCGCTTGGAAGGCGTTTGCTAGGTTCTGTGGTTCCATCTGTGGTTAGATAGATGTGCTTGTTGCAATGTTTTTGGCTCCTGCATGTTTGGAAAAAATTGTAATGCGTTACCTTCTTCTTGTTTCATCATGTTTACCAGTGTTTCTTGCAATATTTTTTGCTCGTATTCAGAGAAAATTATTACTATATGCTTACTAGTTCTTCTTGTTTTTTACTGAAAAATATGTCTAGATTAAATATGGTAAGGAAATAACCCCATACATCTGCAAAAGGGACAGATGTTAACAACCGCGGAGTCACTTAGTCACACCAATAGTTTACAAGAAAATGATCCCCCTCTCATCATTGCTCCTCCCAGGTGACACCAAGGGGAAACCGAAAACCCTAATGCGGCCGCTGCCGTTGGTCTTCGCCACGTGCTGACAGTCCCAGCACCAAAGGTGCCAGGGATCATGTTCCCTCTCTCTCATTCACGGTCGACCGGTCATCGGGAGTGTCAGCGGTTGACTCATCAGCGGAGCGCGTATCCGTCACCCCTGCATAATCCTGTACTCTTTTTAAGGGAGAGCCTATTGGCACTTAATTGCAATATAGAAAGGTTTACATCTTTGATTACATGCGATAAGAGGAAATCTGGAGGTTCATCCTCCCATAACAGAAATAGCTTTGAATCATACACATGTCTGGCAAGGATGTGTGCCAAATTATTTGCTTCCCTAGGGCAATGTATAAAGCTGAGACTTGGTACTGCATGAGCAATCTGAAAACAGTCCGCCAGGATTGCTGAATATAGTGCTCAGATCTCGTTCTCCTCGTTGCAGGCATCAATGATCTCAAGGCAATCAGACTCAACTAGTGAGGTGCAAATGCATTTTAAAAAATCATTCACTTTCAGAATCTTTTTTTTTTGCGGAAAAGCACATATATTATTCACATAGCAATGCTACAACTAGTTTCACAGAGTTTAACAATCTCATCCGGGCCTGAACAAAGCCACACCACAGTTCGACCCTTGTCCTACCAAAAGCTGCCAATGCATGGCTTGCAGAATTTGGAGATCGCTTTATGTGAGTATACAAGAGTTTCGCTGAGACATAAAAAGCTTAATCTCACGAACTAGAAAACTACTCCCTCCGTTCCCAAATGTTTGTCTTTCTAGACATTTCAAATGGAGTACAACGTACGGATGTATGTAGACATATTTAGAGTGTAGATTCACTCATTTTGCTTTGTATGTAGTCACTTGTTAAAATCTCTAGAAAGACAAATATTTGGGAACAGAGTGAGTATATTGTGATCTGTTCATTTGTTCCTTTTTAATCATGTTCAAAGCCTCCAAGCAGTCTGTTTCGACTAAAACAGCACGTTGACTCCACTGAAGTGAGAGAGACAATCCTTCTCTGATTGCAAGTAATTCTGCCTCCAGAGAATCATAACAATGCAACAGTGACGGCATGAACTGAAGATTATGTCACCATTATGATCTCGTAGAATCATACCGCTTCCTGCATTTCCATCAGATTCCATATAAGAGCCATCTGTATTCAGCTTCACGGTGTTTATATTTGGCCTCTCCCATTGTAAGCTATCTGTTACTGTCTTCTTTCTCTTGTTCGATTTTGTGCAAAGGAGCATATACTCAGGTAAAACTGCTTTACCTTTGACTGAATCTGCATCCAATGAATGTGAAAGCGATAAAATGGGTTGGACATAGCTGCTCAAAAAACGCTTCGACACTTTTTCTTTTTTTGCGGGGGTAAAGGGAGTTTTATTACATATGAATAGAGTTACAGTCGAGGGGCCAAATGTCCTCGATACATGGTGGAACCGAACCAAGCCACACAGCCGTAGCTCGTTCGGACCGGCTATATTTCGCTAGACGATCGGCAACTCTATTTTGAAGTCTACTAATCTTTTGTGGAAAAAACTCCCTACTACCAAGCAGATCTTTGATTTCCAGAACTATATGACCGTATCTCGAGTGAACCAACGCACCGTTAGTCAAGCTAGACAGGGCTTCCGAGGAGTCCGTTTGCACAACCACTGGAAGATCGGAGTGTTGCATGGCCAAGGCCATACCCTGCATGATCGCATGTAGCTCAGCTTCGAGTGGATCGTTGCAATGAAAGATATATCGATACGCGGCCATCAGAATCTCCCCTTTCTCGTTCCTAAGCACCATCCCTGCTGCAGCAGAGCCATCCTCTTGGAGAAACGACCCATCAACCGAGAGCGCCACGGTGCCCTGCGCCGGGGCCGGCCATGGAGCTGCAAGACGCTCCATCGTGTGCCTCGGCCTATCCATATCCACAGTAGTCATCTTCCCCTTTAGGATATCTTCAGTAGAGTAGCGGCCAGCTAACTTGATCGATTTGTAGTAGCTATCCAGGTACTCGACGGTAGACGGCACCAGGGGGGCTGCCTTCCCATGGGTCATATCATTCCACAACTGCCAAATCCTCCAAACAAGCAGGATGAGCAAATCACGGACATCTTCCGAGCATCTGGCCAGCAAGGAAACCAGCCATTCTTTCCCATCAGAGATGATAGCCTCGTCTCTAGGTAGTGGCCATCTTCGTCGCATATTTATCCATAAAATTCTTGCATGGGTGCAGGTTACTAATGCATGGAAAGAGTCCTCCACCTCAAAACCACACAGCGGGCAGGTGGGCGTCGTAGACAGGTGTCTATAGGATTTACACAACTGTGTAGCTAGTGTACCCGTTGCACACCTCCAAGCCGTAATCTTCATCTTCTGAGGAACCTTGGACTTCCATATATAGTTCCAGCTTGATCGGTTCCCCTCTGGGTTGGTGCTAGATGCACCATTTGCAAAGGTATCGTTTTGTTCGTAAGTGGCCAGCTTGTAGGCACTTCTTACAGTAAATTGTCCACTCTTTTCCGGGTGCCAAGACAGAAAATCATCACGTTGGCACGGCGAGGGTCGGATTTTTAGAATGTGCTCAATATCCATATCCCAGAAAAACTCCCTCATCCGATCATACTCCAAGCCCCATTGTCATCAAGGAAATCAGAAACCCAGTTGAAACGACAGTTCCGTTTAGGAGTGATCGGACGGAATGAGTGAGGGCGCGGGATCCACGGATCACGCCATGTCCGGATCATTGTACCATTACCAACATGCCATAAGACCCCCTTCTTGATAAGCGCAAGGCCATGCAAAACTCCTTTCCACACCTCCGAACCGGAGTTCGGGAAGACTGTATCAAGTAGCTGACCAGAGGGGTAATATTTAGCTTTCAGCGGACGCGCACATAAGCTATCCAGATTGTCGATAAGCCTCCAGGCCTGTTTGGCGAGCAAAGCCTGGTTAAAAGCCCTCATGTCCCAGAAACCCATGCCACCCATGGATTTCGGTAACCGTAGTCTGTCTCAGCTCATCCAAGCCATTTTCCTTTTGCCGTTCTCCACCCCCACCAGTATTGGCGAATCATACGAGTCAGGTCATCACACACTGAGTAGGGGATTTTGAAAATACTCATAAGATAGGTCGGAATGGCCTGAGCTACCGCCTTGATCAGAACCTCTTTGTTGCCAGAAGACATGTATTGCTCACTCCAGTCGATAAGAACTTTCCTTAGCCGTTCCTGTAATGACACAAACTTCCCCTTGTGCATCCTGTCTTCAGGTATCGACAAGCCCAAATATTTGGGCTCAAAAGCTTCCTGGGTAACTTCCAGAATATTTTTAACTTGCGTAGCAACAACTTGTTGGCACTGGTTTGAGAAGAGGATGGAACATTTGGACGGGTTTATCAGCTGACCAGTCGCCATCGCAAACGTGTTCAACAAACCTTTCACTAACAGTGTCTGCTGTTCTGTTGCCTGGAAGAACAGTAGGGAGTCATCTGCAAACAGAAGGTGGGAGATTTCCGGTGCCCCCCTGCATATTCTTATCCCTTCAAGGCCATCTTGTTGCGTCGCCTTATGAATCAAGGAGGATAGAGCATCAGCAACAAACAAGAAGAGGAAGGGAGATAACGGGTCACCTTGACGGAGCCCTCTTGAGGGAGAAAAAGAATCCAACAGCTTCCCATTAAACTTCACCGCATACTTCACAGATGAAACACACGCCATGACACGGGAGATCCACACAGGAGAGAAACCCCATTTTGCCAAAGCCCGCTCCAAGAAATCCCAGTCCACACGATCGTAGGCCTTCGACAGGTCTAGTTTGTACGCACACAGCTCGGGGCCCGAGTGCCTTACAGATTGTATATGATTGATGCATTCGAAGGCAATCATCGAATTATCAGAGATCAACCGTCCTCGGATGAAAGCACTCTGGTTTTCAGATATAAGTTCTGTCAGAAGAGGCCGGAGTCTGTTCACCATACACTTGGAGACCACCTTATAAAGCACATTACACAGGCTAATAGGACGGAAATCTTTCAGTTCCTACGGGTGGGGAACTTTAGGAATAAGCACTATAGCTGTGTCGTTCACACCATCAGGCATCACACCAGATAAGAAGAACTGTTGAACTGCAGCAACAATCTCCGTTTTTACTAAACCCTAGTTGCGCTGGTAAAACCTGGCCGGGAGGCCATCGCAGCCCAGGGCTTTGAGGGGCCCGATCTGGAACAAAGCATCCGGGATTTCCTCCTCGGTGTAAGGTCTACACAGTGATTCATTCATCTCCACTGAAACTTTAGGCTGTATACAATCAAGAACCCCATCCGATGAAAGGGTTGGGTCCTTAGTAAAGATCTCCTTGAAGTAGGAGGATGTCATTCTCTCCATATCTGATGGAACGTGACACCAAGAACCATCTTGCTTCTGCAACCGGCGTATGAGGTTTCTACGAGCTCGCCAGACAGCTCTTCTGTGCAGAAACTTGGTGTTCCGTTCCCCTTCCTTTAACCAATCAATACGAGACCGTTGGAGCCAAAGCATCTCCTCACGGTATAACAGCTCATCCAATTCGTTCATCTTTGCACGAATGACAGCATAGTCAGAACCCGTCATCTGTAACTCGTCAAGTTGTGATCGCAGCTTCTCGATCTCCTTCAACACGTTACCAAACTTAATTTTATTCCACTCTTTTAAATCCTTAAGCACCTCCTTCAGGGATTTTGCTACCAAACCCAAGCTGCCAGGTTGTTTGTGTCTGTTCCACGCCCTGGCTAGCATGTCAGGTAAAGTATGGTCCCGTTCCCACATTATCTCATAGCGTAGAGTGGGTACCCGACGTCTCTCATCTTGCTGACCCTCCATCTGGATCAAGATGGGGCAGTGATCCGAACAGGGAGTGGCCAGATGGGTCACCTTCACGGCGGGGAAAGAGTCCCGCCATGATTCATCAGCGCAAGCACGGTCCAGTCGGACCTGAACATTCCGATCCGCCTGCTGACCATTGTTGTAGGTGAAAGGATAACCTGAGAAGCCCAGGTCTTCCAACTCGCATCTTTCCAAGCAATCTCTAAACGCCACCATTTGAGCTTCAGACCGTGGCGTACCAGAGAGGTGCTCATGTTGCCAAAGTGCCTCGTTAAAATCTCCGCACACCACCCATGGCTCCCGTGAGCTGGCCCTAAGCCCACACAGTTGCTCCCACATCCGATGACGATTTTCAACACGTGGCTCCCCATAAATAAAAGTTCCTCGCCAAGAAGTGCCCGAACCGCCATCTACTACCTTGACGTCAATAAAACGGCCGCAAGAATCTAGCACCGTCACTGTCAACGACTCATCCCAGAACAGAGCCAAACCACCACTTCTTCCATCGCTACTCACACCATGAAAGCCTTTCAACCCGAGTCTCCAACGCAGCTTTTCCACTTTAACAGAATCCTGTCTAGTCTCACAGAGGAAGACTAGTTTGGGGAAGTTGGCTTTTGAGAGGGCCAAAACCTCATGAACTGTCCGGCGG